CCACCGCAGGAATGCCTCTCCCGGGCTGCCCCCCACATCTTTTCCTCCTCTGGCCAAGTTTCAGCCCGTTACCTCTAAACCTCCACGCCCTCACAGCTGCTTGACTTCGGCGCCCACAGATGCTATCTTCTCTCCACTCACGTCACCCACCAACCAAACCACACTCTTGAATTGGTTGCTTTCCCCAAGACTGATCTGTCAGCCAGCTGATGGTGGCTGCCTCTTCTTGGGGCCGGTGAGGCATGTGGGCGGGAAGGGCGTTGTCTGCTGGACAGCCATCCCTCTCTGGGGACCCCTGCCCTTTGTCTTCTGTTGCATCGAAGCTCACCAAGCTTCTGCAGCCTTCTGTGAGCACATTCTCTTTTCTTACAGCTTCGAGACTTTCTCATTCTTTCAAACTGGCCACTTTCTCCCTCTCCCCAGGTAGCTGCTGCTCCCCTGCCAAGAAAAATGGGCACATCTGGAACTTAGTTTAAGATGGAGACCTTAACCTGGAACCCACAAATTCCTAGCCCAGTAGTTTTCAATCTTCAGTGGACGCTGGAATTTCCTAGGGTGTTTTAAAAGTCCAATGTCCAGACTGCATTTACGTTGATTAAATTAAAAACTGGGGGTGGGAAGCCAGCCTCAGTGTATCACTGCTCCCCCAGGTGACTCCAATATGCAGCCAAGGTTGAGGACCACTGGGAAGTCCAGGTTCGTCCGTTGTTTCTGGATAGGCAGATGACCCTTTTCTGAACAAGCAAAGCCCTAGCTTTTAGCAGATTCTTAAAGAAGTTTGTGACACCTTCCTCTTCCCCTTGTTCCCCCCCTAAAAAATGGCTCAGTGATGGAACTAAGATAATAATAATATAAGCAAGAAGAACTTACTGAATTTTTTTTTTAAGATTTATTTATTTATACAAGCACTGGGTACAGTCAGAAGCGCAGGAGGGTGAGAGAATTCACCAGAGCCAGAGCGGGGAGCAGAGCAGGCAGAAGGACCGAAGTACACTGCTGAGGGGAGCAGCGGGCGGCAGGAGAGGTCTGCGCGCCATGTGGGACCCTCCTCTGGTGGCCCTGGAGCAGCCGGGGATCAAACAGGTGCTGCAGAGGCTGCGGGCAGCTTCGCAACCCAGCGCTCAACCGCTGCTCCACCAGGGAGGCCCGAACTTACTGATTTTTAAGGAAACACCAATGTAAGTTACATGCAGAGCAGAGAAAGTGCCCGTGGTAGCTTCAGAAATGAGGAGGCCCTTGGGAATGCTGTTTGGGTGGGATGGGAACGTCCCTGCCACTCCCCCAGTTAGCCAGGAACACTGATTTCAGATACTGCCACTATGGAGATCTCATCACATCATTTACCTCCCTGCTGTCCGCAGAACCAAGGCTGAGACTCTCAACATCACATTGTTTCCTGCGCCCACACTCTGTGCCCAAGGGGCTGCTCACTGTCCTCTGTGCCTTTGCCTCTATTCTTCCCCTGGTTCCTCCCACACCACTCATCTCCAGTGACTTGGGAGGGCGTGGAGGGCCGAAGAGACAGAATGGCTGGAGGTGGGGCCCGTAGGCTCATTTCATTTCTGTGAAGGGCTAAGTGCCGAGGTGTGGAGTCCCCCAGCACAGCACAGAATGTCCTCAGCCCCATGAGGACAGCCAGTAAGTGTTCATTTCCTCCATCTACCTCCTTGGGCTGAGCATCCAGGTTAAACAACTGTATCTTTTCTTCACTGTAGGGTAAAAAAGTTAATCAGGCTTTTTTGTACGCCCTCCGCCTCTACAGCTCACATCTGCGTCCTTCACATGCGCCTATGATTATGGACACCTGGACCCAGAGAGCAGGGATGTGCGCGCATGAAATGCTCAGGTCTGTGCCTAGAGCAGAGGCATGGAGGCAGGAAGGCCCGCTCTGGGGCGAGACCACGAGACCACACGAGACTGAGAACGCCAGAGAGGTCAGAGAGGGGTCAGAGAACCAGAGCGGGAACTCAAGGATTTGTGGGGTCTGGGAGGTTCAGTTGCCTGCCTGCTTCCCAGACCTCCTGCCCAGCCCGGGGAAGCCTCCCTGCCTGGTATGCCTGTGCACCTGGTTCCCTGGGAGAGCATTAAAGGCCTGTAAAATTTATTAGGGGCTCCAAGACTCCTTATCCATCACCTTGAGTCGACAATGAACCTGCCCTGTGCATACTTGCACAACAAGCACCTCTCTCCCAAAGAGGATGGGGACCCTTCCCCCGAGAACCACACCCTTTCCATTTGGGCTGCCAGGATGCTCTAATTGTTCTGCACTTTAATAAGACACAGAGGGTTCATTATGGAAATTCAGGGGGGAAAACACAAATCATGAATTACATCTGTATTAATAAACATTTTAATTAACACTTACCAACTGCCAACAATGTGTTAGGTGTAAATAACAGGTGGATGCGGGTTGAAGCGATGAGACTAGAAAGTCATGCTTCCTTTCTATTCCTTTCAAGAATTTCAAGGAACAGCTTATGTAGTATGTTTTTAAAAGTGGGCTTATAAATTCTTCTGAACCCTGAACAAAACAAATACTTAGTTTTCCATTTAAATATGAAAAAAAATAAGAACATTGTATGGGTGCCTCATCTCAGATTCAATTACTCATTCATTCATTCATTCACTCAGCAGATGCTTAAAAGGTTTGATGGGCATCTGTTCTTTCACACCTACTCATTTAGGCACAGGCTACATCAGTGAATGATTAAGACGAATTTCCTGATCTTAAAAAGTTTACATTCTGGTGGACAAAGACAATAAGGAAATCAACAAGTACATAAACATTAAATGGTGAAAATGCTATAGAGATAAAGCAGGATAAGGAAAATAGGAAGTGTGTGAGTGTTGTCAGGGAAGGCCTCTCTGATTCGGACATGTGAGTGCTAGGACTTACTGATGGAGTAGATAGAGGGTGTAATGAAAGAGGTGTCAGGCTTTTCACTTGAGCAAGTGGAAAATAGAATTGTTGCCTACTGATATGGGGGAGGGAGGTGGGGGTAGGGGAAGAGCAAGTCTTGGAATTTGATGTTGAGAAGGCAGCTCAATAATCCAACGTGGAGTTCAGAGGAACGGCTGGGACTGGAGATAAATGTGGAACACTTTAGCCTGTAGATTTTTAAAAATCAGGGACCTAGGTGTGACCATTGACATTAGGGGAGGTGTAGGAGCTGAGAGGAGATTCAAGGACTGTGCTCTGGGCATGCTTCTATTGCAAAACGGGGTTAAGGTTAAAATGGAGGAAACTGTTGATGAGGGAGGAGCAAAACCAAGATAGAGGCCGCCTGGACACCAAGCGAAGAAAGTGTTTCAAGGAAGAAAGAATAAACAACTGTGTAAAATGACGCTAAAAGATGCTGAGTGAAATGAGGCCTCAGAATTGACCACAGGATGTGATGTTGTGACGGTCACTAGGGCCTTTACAAGAATAGATTCTATGGAAAGGAGTAAGGAGAAGAAGCAAAAGTTTGATGACAGATTCTTTGAAAAACATACTGACTGTCTTAATCCATTTGGATTGCCATAAGAACCGTAAAATGGGTGGTTTATGAACAACAGATTTTTTTTCTCAATTCCAGAGGCTGAAGTAGGAGATCAGGGTGCCAACATGGCTGAGTTCTGAGGTGGACCCTCTCCCAGGTAGTAGACTGTTGGTTTCTCAATTTGGATGGGATGAAGGAAGAGGTTCTGCTATTATGGCACTAACACCATACATGAGGGTTCTACCCTCATGACCTGACCACCCCCCCCAAAAAAATCTTACTTCCAAACACTAGCATATTGGGGATTAGGTTTAAACCTAGAAATTCTGGAGGCACACAAAATATTCAATTTGTGGCAGATAACCTTGATCTGAATTATTTCTAAACTGCTGCTGCCCGTCTTTGAGGCAGCCCAGATTTCTGAGTGTTCCTCTGTGCTAGGCTGTTCCTGTCGCTGCTGCTGCTGGGAAGGCGCCTCCAAGGCTCTCTCCTGCCTGGACTAGGCCTCTGCTTGGCCACACAGTGGGAAGTACGATAGGTTCCAGGGCCCTGTGGTTGGCATTCAAATCAAACTGGCATCCAGGGCAGTGGGGCTGGAGGAGAATGTGGCCCTTCCCTAGTCTAGAGTTTCTGTGACCGGTGGAGGCCAAGGTTCTGAGGACAGCCCTTAAAAGATGAAGCTTCATTCTTGCGCACTGAGCTTCTGAAACAGATTTCATTTGACTGAAGATTCCATGTTTTAAAAGAAAGCTTGAAATCCACGTAAATCTAGTCTAGTGGCTGTACATCAGATCATGGCTTTTACATAACTGCCCCTCCCAGACCCTCACCCCCTAAAAGAAGCAGAGTACCTTGGAGAAGTGGTAGTTTCCAGGTTTTGGCCAGGGAAAGAACAAGGTTAACCTGAGCCAGCTGCTAACAGAAAGCAAGGAAGAAAGGGTGTCAAAAGAGCATTGGACAAGGCTGAAGGTATTTGAAAGGCAAATTTAGAAAAGCTAAACCACTAAGAATAATAATGGCCATGGTTATTATAAAACAATGGGAAAGCATCCATTATAGTGATACTAAAAAAAATTAAAACTACAGAAAGGGTAAAAAAATATCTTCACCACTGGAAATGATTCATGTCAATTATTCTGGATATTGGTAAAGAGAAATATGTTAACATTACCTTACCTTTTTAGGATAGAAGTATAATTCAGCCGCAATTGGTGACAAGAAAACCTCTTTATAAAAGAATTAGTTAAAAAGTGAAGAAGGAATGATATGAGGAAATTGCCACTCCGCATTCCCATATGCAATGATGGAGTTGAGGAAGGCTCACCGGCGGATGTCAAAAAATGAGGTGAAAGGTTGTGGAACAGAATATACTCATATGCTGAAAGATCACCCCACAGATAACTGGAAAGAGAAGAAAAACTTTACTTCTTTCATGGAGAAATATATAAAGCCCATTGTAGGGTAAGGTAAAAGGTATCAGGCTTTTCTGCCCTTCCGCCATCAGGATAGATGAGAGAGCCCTGTGATCCTGGGTGCATGCCTGATGGCGGGCACCTGAAGTGGGTACACCTGCGCTAAAAGACTGATAATATAAGGGTGGTGCAGCAGAGTGCGGTGTGGTGGTAGTGCGGTGTTAAGGGTGGAGGAGTGGAGTGTACGGAGGAGTGTTGGAGCGACTACAAACCACGGCGAAGAGCATGTGGCTGCTAGAACCGTTTATAAACCTGCTCAGAATGGGTTGGTTGCTTTACAACTGGCGTAGACGGCAGGACGGTTCGAGGCAGGACAGCTCTACGCAGACGAAACCCTTTGAAATCTGGAGAGGGATCCCTGGATGGCCGGCCACGAGCAGATGGTACCCGGTGGCCGACCTCCTCGCCCAGTGGGCACCTCCCCAGGAATGGCCAGAGGTAGATGGATCCCCGGGGCAGTTGGAACAGGCCCTGTATGAAATAGAAGAAACCCTGAGTGGATGCAGTGCCCGCGAGGCGGCAGGAGCCGTGGGATGGGTGTTTCTCACGGCTCTGCGAGAGTCCAGGCGGAAAGAGCAATCTAGGATCCAGCAAGTACTGGATGAGATGCGAGAAGAGATACGAGAAGAGATGCGGATACAGCAACAACATTTGAGGATTCTGGAGGAAGAAGTTCGGAGAAACCGACCCACCCCTCCCGAGATGCCAGACTCCGTCTCAGGAAGGAAGGAGAGGGAGGCTGGCCCTTTGCGCGAATCACAGCCGGGGGTGGCAAACCAGCCTGCGACTCCAGAGATGCCTGACCCCTGCTCAGGAGAGGAGGAGAGGGAGGCTGAACCTTTGCCTGAGTCCCAACCGGCAGTGGTAAACCAACCCGCCACCCCGGAGATGCCGGACTCCTCTGGAGAGGAGGAGGAGGCCGGGCCCATGCTCCGGGCCCGCCCGGTGGTGACTCAGAAAATGAAGCGGCAGCGACCCATGGCCCCAGGGGGTCAGGCAGCGGGACCACCACAGATGACGGAATTTACTACCTACAGACCTTACACCCAGGCGGAACTGGTGGACTTGGGCAAACAGTTCCGCCAGAAACCAGGGGAACCCTTGGCAGCCTGGCTGCTACGTTTATGGGACCTGGGGGTGGATGGGATTATTTGCACGGCTCAAGAGATGGAGAGACTGGCCTCCGTGACTTCACACCCATCCTTGCGACAGAGGCTGCAGAACAGCCGGCGGTATGGCCAGGGCGACCACACCCTCCTGGAGTGGATAATGGCTGCCATACGGACAGTCTGGGCTGATGCGGGAGATGTGCCGGAGACAGTAAGCGGATGGCAGACGTACGCCGAGCTGGTGCAGGTACTTCGGGAATTGGGGATGCGGCAGGCCATGTTTAATGTGAATACGCGTGGTCCTGACGACGAGCGTTTCACAGCAGGAATGAGAGACTTGGTATTAAAGGATGCCCCCTCCTCTACATTTGGATCCCTCATGGCAGTACTAGCACCCTATGTGGGACGTCAGATACATGACGTCACCACCATGATAGCCAGCTTGGGAGAAGTTGAGAGCCGGCGCTCTCAGAAAGGAATACGGGTAGTTTCAGAAAGGTCAAAAGGAATGCCAAGGAGGGCAAGGAGGCCTCTTGGCATCACAGAACCTATAAAAGTCACCCGTAAACAAATGTGGATGGATTTAATAAGAGCAGGCGTAGATAGCACTAAAATAGACGCACAGCCCAATGCATATTTATTGGAATTATGGCAGCAGCTGCGAGAAGACCAGAGGTTCACACCCATGAGAAGGACTGCTGCTCAAGGGGAGCCTGGAAACCCCAGGCCTCAGGCACGCGCCCTGCGGCTGGAAGACCACTTGCTGCCAGCCCCGTCCTCGGGTGATGGCCTGATATCCTTTGAATAGGGTGAGGGCCAAGGAACCCGTCCACAGGGGACGGGCGGGGACCGGAGGCCACATGTGGAGCTTGCCATTCACTGGTCCCCGACTAACGTACAAAGGGTTTTAGCGCTAGTAGACACAGGAGCAGAATGTACTCTGCTCTATGGAAATCCGGAAAGATTTCATGGGTCTACTTGTTATATTGATGGCTATGGAGGCCAGAGTGTCAAGGTGACAGCAGTAAAACTATCTCTGGGGATTGGGCGATTACCCCCTAAAGAGTATAAAGTGTATGTATCGCCCATCCCGGAGTACATCCTGGGGGTGGATGTACTACGTGGCTTATGGCTAGAAACCACAATCGGAGAGTTTCGCCTTAGAGTGCGCGTGGTAAAGGCAGTGGTGAGAGGACATGCTAAGCATCCGCCCCTACAACTGCCAGTCCCTAGGCGAGTGACTAATACCAAGCAATATCGGTTGCCCGGAGGCTACAAAGAAATTACAGGCACAATATCAGAGCTGGAGAAAGTGGGCATTGTGCGTACTGCCCACAGCCCCTACAATTCGCCAGTGTGGCCGGTGAAGAAGCCCGATGGCTCTTGGCGCATGACAGTAGATTATCGTGAATTGAATAAGGTAGTTCCCCCCTTGCATGCTGCAGTGCCTTCAGTGGCAGATTTGATGGATCGTCTGAGCCACGAGCTAGGAATGTACCATTTTGTAGCTGATCTGGCAAATGCTTTTTTTTCCATAGATATAGCCCCAGGAAGTCAAGACCAATTCGCCTTCACCTGGGAAGGCCGGCAGTGGACATTCACTGTGCTGCCACAGGGATACCTGCACAGCCCGACTCTGTGTCATGGGCTGGTGGCAGCAGATTTGGCCCGGTGGGAAAGGCCATCTTCAGTGCGTTTATACCATTATATTGATGATATTTTATTGACAAGTGACTCTCTTACAGATCTGGAAAAGGCAGTACCTCTCTTATTAACACACCTGAAAACATGCGGCTGGGCAATCAACGAAAGCAAACTGCAGGGGCCTGGACTGTCAGTTAAGTTCCTGGGAGTTGTTTGGTCGGGTAAGACAAAGGTTATCCCTGAAGCTGTGATAGATAAAGTTCAAGCTTACCCCACTCCAACCACAGTGAAGCAGCTGCAAGCCTTTCTGGGTCTGCTGGGTTACTGGAGGGCATTTATACCTCACATGGCCCAGCTCTTACGGCCCTTGTATATGTTAATACGAAAGGGAGCCAGGTGGGATTGGTCAGCTGAGGCAGACACAGCATTTGCCACGGCCAAACGAACTATAAAGACTGCTCAGGCCTTGCAGGTTTTTGACCCAGCCCGACCCTGTGAGCTCGATGTACATGTTACTCAGGAAGGGTTCGGGTGGGGACTCTGGCAGAAATCAGAGAGGCTACGACAGCCTATTGGGTTCTGGTCCCAACTCTGGAAGGGGGCTGAGGTTAGGTACTCCTTAATTGAGAAACAGTTAGCTGCGGTATATGCAGCCTTACTAGCCACAGAAAGTATAACTGCCACAGCCCCTGTCTCAGTGAGAACCACTTACCCAATAGCTGGATGGGTACGGGACTGGACAACAAAGCCCCATAGTGGCACTGCTCAAACGCCCACTTTGGCGAAGTGGGGGCATACTTAGAACAGCGCTGCACCCTGTCAACTAGCCCCTTAAGGGTGGAGTTGCAGGAGGTTCTTGGTCCTGTGACATATACTAGTATGGAACCAAATTCAGAAGCCTGTATAGAAGCCGAACCTGAAGCTAGTCCCTACAAGGAGGGTCGAGCACCGATTCCAGCAGAGGCCTGGTATACAGATGGCTCCAGCCGGGGCCAGCCAGCCTCTTGGACAGCGGTGGCTGTACACCCAGAAACAGACACTATCTGGTTCGAAACCGGGACGGGACAGAGCAGCCAATGGGCTGAACTGCGAGCAGTATGGATGGTGGTGGCCCATGAGCCTTCCCCTGTAGTAATCTGTACTGACAGTTGGGCTGTGTACAGGGGTCTGACACTGTGGATTTCCACATGGAATTTAAATGACTGGACAGTTATGCATCGGCCATTGTGGGGCCAGGCCCTATGGAAAGATCTATGGGATCTGGGGCATCAGAAGCAGGTGACTGTTTATCATGTCACAGGACATGCCCCATTAGCCTCACCAGGCAATGATGAGGCAGATACCCTAGCCCGGGTTCGATGGCTTGAAACTGCTCCAGGGCGGGATGTTGCGCAGTGGCTACACAGACGCTTGCTCCACGCAGGGCAGAAGACAATGTGGGCCACTGTACGTGCCTGGGGTCTACCTGTAACTTTAAAAGAAATCCAGACTGCATGTGAAACATGTGTAGTATGTTCTAGGACTTACCCCCGGAGACCTTTTGCATCTACAGGCCAGGTGTTGCGGGGGCAGGTACCCCTGACACGCTGGCAGATTGACATCATTGGACCACTACCTCGCTCCGATGGACAACAGTATGCTGTCACCTGTGTGGACACTGCTACCGGGTTATTGGCAGCTTACCCTGCTCCACATGCGGACCAAAAGGCAGTTTTGGCAGCACTGGCACGCCTATGTGCTGCATATGGACGTCCGCTGGTAGTGGAGAGCGATCAAGGGACTCATTTTACAGGAGCCCGGGTGCAGCAGTGGGCCAAGAACATGGGTGTTGAATGGAAGTTTCACACTCCCTATAATCCCAAAGCTGCAGGGATTATAGAGAGGTATAATGGCCTACTGAAGCAAGGACTAAGAGCCACTGCCCCTACTCAGACGCTGGCCGGGTGGAGCCGACGTCTCTGGGAGGTGTTGCAGACATTGAATGAGAGGAGCAGGAGAGGCGGCCTGGCTCCAGTGGAGGCATTGCTACATCGTGCCGCTGCTCCCATCCAATTACAAATAAAGACGTCAGACATCTTATTAAAACCGGGACTTGGACAGCAGGGCAACATCCTATTGCCAGCCCCAACTGGAGTGGACCCAGGGCAGACTGTGGACTGGGAATGGCCCTGGACAGTGAAGGCTCCCCACATGCGGTGGGTGGCTCTGATAGCCCCTTGGGGTCGTGGCCTGGAGGCCAATTTACAGATAAAACCATGGGTGAGTGCTCAGTGGCCGCCACGGGTGCGTGTTACCCACCCTGGAGTAACAGATCAGCAGGCAATCCTCAAGGGGACATTTGTAATAACTCTGTGGCCCATTATGAGCTCTCCACTCCTGCTGCATGTAGAACCCACTGATGCCTCTTCACTGGCAAAGCGAGTGTGGTACTCACGCCCTGGAAGGCCACTGATGCCAGCAACAATATTGTCTTCGGATGCCAAATTAGCATGTATATTGCCCGATGGGAGGGATCTCCCATTGCTGGTACCAGTAACTTCTCTGTCCTTCCGCCCCTAGGAAAATTAAGTTTAGTCATTTTGTGGTGTGTTTGCTTTTGTGGTCCAGGGCTGCACTGTTTATGTTTGCTTAAAAAAATTGTATATACGTAGACTATGTGGCAGAAAACCCTGAGGGGGTGGACTGTAGGGTAAGGTAAAAGGTATCAGGCTTTTCTGCCCTTCCGCCATCAGGATAGATGAGAGAGCCCTGTGATCCTGGGTGCATGCCTGATGGCGGGCACCTGAAGTGGGTACACCTGCGCTAAAAGACTGATAATATAAGGGTGGTGCAGCAGAGTGCGGTGTGGTGGTAGTGCGGTGTTAAGGGTGGAGGAGTGGAGTGTACGGAGGAGTGTTGGAGCGACTACAAACCACGGCGAAGAGCATGTGGCTGCTAGAACCGTTTATAAACCTGCTCAGAATGGGTTGGTTGCTTTACACCCATTCAATTTAGCACTAGCAGAGGAACAAGCTGACATTAACCTCCTGGTATCACTGATGATAATCCTCTCATCAAAAATGTTTTAATTGGGGGCCTCCCCTTGTGGTACACACAGCGGTTGAGCGCTGGGCTGCGAAGCTGCCCGCAGCCTCTGCAGCGCTGGTTCGATCCCCAGCCACCAGCGAGGGTCCCACATGGTGTGCAGACCTCTCCTGCAGCACACCCTGCTCCCCTCAGCAGTGTATTTCGGTCCATCTGCCTGTTCTGTTCCCTGCTCTGGTGAATTCTCACCCTCCCACGCTTCTGACTCCCTAGTGCTTGTATAAATAAATTTTTTTTTTAAACGTTTTAAGTGGAATCTACTCAAGTCTTCGGAGCTACCTTCCAATTTACATGAAACACAGGGAACAGAAGAAATAAAATGACACCACAAGAAGATAATCAGACATCCAGAATACAGGACACTGCAAGAAACTTCCTCAGTTACTTTAAAAATTGTACCATGAAACCAGTTATAAAAGACAATTTAAATATAGACTGTATATATTAAACTGTTGCTCTAAGAATGAAAATACTGTAATTATAATGATGTTGATAGACAAATTCTTAAACATTTAGGAGGGAAGGGATGTGATGTCTGCTATTTACTTTTATAGGTTTGCAAAAAAACCATACATATTATTCAATACAGAGCAGAATGTTAACATTTATTGAATTGGGGATATGCTTTGTTCATTGGCTTATCTTTTCAACATTTTGATACATTAAAAATGCTTCTTGGGGCCTCCCTGGTGGCCCAAGAGGTTAAGATGCAGCCTATGAAACTCTGCAACCACTACAGCACAAGTTCGATCCCTGGCTGGCCAGGGAGATACCCACATGGCACAGCAGACCTCTCCTGGCTCGCCCGCTGCTCCCCTCAGCAGTGTACTTCAGTCCACCTGTTCTGCCCCCCACTCTCTCTGGTGAATCCTCTCACCCCCTGCACCTCTGGCCTGTACCCCATTTCTTGTATGCATAAATAAATCTTAAAAAAATAAAAATACTTTTTTAAAAAATACTTCTTTATAAAAAATTGGGGGAAAATATTGTGCAGAGTCTGTGACTCATGCTTGGCATTTGGGTCTGTTAAAAGATCATTGAGGACTCCCATACTTGGTCAGGACTGAGAATTGCTGTTCCAGTGCCCTCACAGTATGATGCTGAGGCCTGAGTTGACTTAGTTTCCAAACGATAGAACAAAGACTAGAATTCATGTTCCTTGGCTTTCAGTCCTATGCTCTTTTCTTATATCTCTTCTAAAGAAATGTCCTAGATAAGAAACCTTACATAATTGAACACCTGAAGCTCTTTGCTAGCAGATGAGCTGGAAAGGATTTGGCAGCTCGAGAGGGCTTGGTGGTTGCTGATAAGTTATGGGAAAGTAGGACCAAAGGTTTTACTAGGGAACTATTAGAGCCACTAAGGACAAAGGCAGCCCTAATGAGAAAAAGGAGGAAAAAAAAATGTACTTCGGAGGCGAATTTTCTCTTAAAAAATTCTATTACTTTCAGTGAAGATAATCCATGAAGTTGAATCTTACTTCACACATCTGTAAGATTTAATACCTAGATAAAATCACAGATTGGAGAGGTGGGGAATCCCAAAGTGCTGATTGTGTGTGAGGCGCTTGGAAGTCCTGGCAAGCTCTGCTGCACCTGGTGGCTGAGGCAGCAGGCAGCTGTCTGGGAACCCGCACTGCACCACCCAACCAGGAGCCGTGGGGTTCCTCTTACAGTTTTTAGTTGGGAAATGAGATAGCAAATGAAGTTCTTGGGAAATGAGATAGCAAATGAAGTTCTTGGTGTTGAAAGCGCCAACTAGCAGAGAAATGAAAAGCTGATGGCAAAGTGGTAGGTCCTGACGTCTAGTGGAAAGGTAGGAGTTGTTGGAGTTGACAAGATCTAGGGTTCAGTTCTAACTCTGTCACTTACTAGTTTCGTGTTCTCAGGCAAGTTATGTGAGAGTTCCCAAATCCAGTTATTTGGCCCCTATTGCCAGGCACTGTGCTGAGTGCAGTCAACAAGCCCAGGGTCTTGTTCTCCTAAAAACCAACAGCTAATTAAGGAATGGGGGATAGTCAAATGGGTTTTCTAACTCTGAAAGGTCTGGGAGAGCTTAGCCAGCTGGATATGGAGTTGGTCTGGGACAACATTTTGAGAAGATGCGGGGTGGAGGGGGGTGCGGTGCAGAGGCTGACAGCTTAGAGTGGCTGCGTTTCTGTAGCTCTAATCAAGGTGGCTGCAATTATTTAGTGAAATATGGAAAACCCCTAACTTTAACTCAAAAGTCAGGAACTGGGGGGCGAATCCGAGCACTAACAAAATCCCTCTCGAGAAGGTAAGGCGACGCAAATTTCCAGCAGAAGAGCAAAACAGCACAGAGGAAGGGAAAAGGCAGAGGCTGGGGTGGGGGGCGGGACTTACACGAAGGGGGCGCGGCGTCACCGTGCACTAAAGCCATCCTCTTCCGGAATAGGCCTGTGCCCCGGAAGCAGTTTGTTGCGGGCCCCTGGACCTCTGACGGAGGTGGTCGGGGTGCGTCGCCATGTTCCTGTCCTTGGTCTCCCGTAAGTGGGGCTAGAGGCAGCGGGCCTGCGGCGAGGGCGGGAGGCCCGGGCAGGAAGGCCCCAGAACAGTGGGGCAGGGGTCTGCGAGCCGGCGGGCAAACGGCTTCTGCGGACCCGCCGGGCCTGCGGGACTACAGCGTCCGGCATGCCCCGCGGCGCGCCTGCCTGCGGGGCCTAGTGGGTACTGGGGGCTCGCGGTGCTGGTTCACAGTTCACTTGCGGCTCGCAGGGACCCTGGGGTTCAGGCAGCAGGAGTTGGGGGTCGTCCCCCGCAGGGGTCTGTCAGCAGAGTCACTGGATACTCGAACTGGGAAAAACTTCAGGAGTTCTGCCCACCGATTTCGAACTCTAAAGATGAAGAAACTACTTCTCGGAGGGGCAGGGCAGCAATCGGCCCTGTTTCATAAGGCTGGGCTGTGAAAGAAGCCCACTGCCTCCCACGCCCGTGCGCTTCCTGCACCAGGCTGGCTTCTCGGTTAGATTTCGTTTTCCTCTTCTATCTGATGTGATGGTCATTGCAGTTTGCATAGGTTAACTTGTCCAACAAGAGGCTTCTCCCAGGGCAAATATTTGCACCTTAAAAGAGGTGGAGCAGATCTTACTCTAGAAAGATGTAAAAAGTAGCCAGTCCAACTGAAATGAGATTATACAAAGCATAGTTTTTAACATCCAGAATTGTGTTGGTTCGATTGGATGTTTCATCTTTCTTCCCTAAAATCCTATCGGGATCCCTAATAGCTGGGGAATAGTTACTTGAGTTATAATCCATGGCTTACTTTATGACTTAAATATTTTTGTTGTTACTGACGTTTATGTGAATTTTGTGTAAGAAAGATAACACATTGATATTTTTCTTTTTTCATCCAACCTTCCCTCTGCAAAAAAGTTGCCAAGAGCAAGTCAAAGTAAGTAAAGGTTCTTTTTTTAAACTTTGTGTTAATTTTTAGTTCAGCTACTGCCTCTACATCCTTATTTCAAACTTAACATTTGGTGTCTGTTTTCTTAAAGTTGATTTGAAGATGACTTGAGTTCTTTTGGCCCCATTGAGACTTTCAAAAAAATACATTTCCAGGGGGTATAACTCAGTAGAGCACTTGACTGCAAAAAATACATTCCCTCCAGCTCAGCAGACCTACTTAAGTGAGTATTCAAAGTACCCTTGCTGTCTTGTTCCTAAAGAAATCATCAGGGGCTCTGTGCTCTCTGGCTTACCACCATATTTGTTTCTTCAAATTGAAGATCAAGGGCTACATATCTGCAACCCATACAGGGATCTATCAGAACAAACTGTGACTTGATTAAACTGCTGAGCTGGTTTTGTAATCTTTTTCATTCATGGTATAAGCATTGCAAACATAGCAAAGATTAAAGATTTCATGCTGTACCAAGTGAGACAATAAATACCAAACTGGTATCTCAAAATCATTTTTGCAGATATTTGCTGAAGATTTTCTTTTTAAAAGTGAAGCTTCCAAAGCGGTCTTTCCTTCTAACCCAAGACATCACAAATCCTTCAGACTAGGTTTTTTGGATTAAAGTTAATGAAAAATGTGTATGTTAGTGTTTTGCTTCCCAATATCATATTGATTCATGTAACTTTTCCCATAATCCATTTGTTAGAACCCTCCACCCCCAAGTTGTGTAGAGGTCTCCTGTGCTTCTGGTTTCCTTAGAGATATTCCCTGATTTTCATGGTCTTCATATCCCCCTTCTGACATTTGTCATACATGTCTTGCCTCATACACCTTGTGGACACAACTGACCTTCCATATTGTACAATTGTGCCTTAAGAATACAGAAGTAGGGCCTTTCTGGGGGCGCAGCGGTTGTGCGCTGGGTTGCGAAGCTGCCTGCAGCCTCTGCAGCACCGGTTTGATCCCTGGCCGCCGTGTGAGGGTCCCACATGGCGCGCAGACCTCTCCTGCCACCCGCTGTTCCCCTCAGCACTGCCTGTTCTGCTCCCCGCGCTGGCTCTGGTGAATTTTCACCCTCCTGCGCTTCTGACTGTACCCAATGCTTGTGTAAATAAATAAATAAATCTTAAAAAAACAAATGAGTAATTCTGTTAACAAAAAAAAAAATATAGATGCAGCCTGATAGAGCCTTGCATTTTCCGTAGGATTTTCTACAGTGTAAACTCTTAGTAGATGTTAAATCTTTGTTGAATGAATGGCTAATTGTTTCTCTAAGCCAGTGAATAAATGTTATATGCCTCCCATGTATGAGGCACTGTGCTGACCTCTGAAAGGGGTGCAAAGATATGTAATGTCTCAGATGCCTCAAATTCATTCTGGAAAGAGATGAGAACTAAAATTGCTTCTACTTAGGGAGACAAGACACATGAAAAAGTAATAAACAGTACAGGTATTAAAGGTTCAGTGAGGCAAAACATCAAGTTTATGCTTTGGATGATTCTTAACTTCATTGAAATATGAAGGAAAACAAGGTTTTTGCAAGTTAACAGTGTAAAAGTTCCAGTCTCTTAATTTTGCCCCTTCCTGGTTTTATGGCTCCTCCCTAGAAGATAGAGCCTTCTGAGACTGCCATCTTTACAGTTTCCTGATAAGCCAGCAAGGGTCACCAGTACATTTGTATTTATCCTCCTCCTGACTTCTGAGAGGTGACTGCCTGAGTCTGCTTTGGCTAGATCATTACTAAGCACTCTGATTATCAAAACTGATTCCCAAATTGTGGTCTATGGAAAGCATAGACTTTGTCTTAGAACTGAACCTTCTTAGGGCCAAATGATGTCCCACAACTATTACTGCTATAGGGTCCTCAAAACGTCCCATTCCGCAAGGCTGATTTTAGTCTATTTACTCAGCTTTTAACAGCTTGCTTTTTAATCTTAGAGTCATTCTGGTGAAAATGATGAGCGAAGCTGGGACAGGTTACACCTTCAACACTAAGAGAAGCCGACTGCGGGAGAAACTAACTCTGTTGCATTATGATCCCATTGGTAAGATTCAGAGACGTCGTTCTAAGATAAATCATATGCTCTCAAGTCCTGTTGCCCTTTCCAGACTGATGCTAAACATCGCTGGCAGTTTTTGTGGCCCTTTTGACATTGTAGCATTCATTCAGCGAGTATGTATTGAATGTTTACTGCTGCCAGTTACTATCCTAGGTGCTGGGTGCTGGGATATAATAGGACACGAGACAGGCTTGGTTTCTGTACTCTCAGTGCTTACAGTCTGATTTGGAAGGAAGGGGGGGGCGCAGAAAACCCAAATTATGCTAAATGCTTTGAGAAAAACAAACAGGGTGTTTGGATAAAGTTGGAGGAGGTGGGTCCCCCCTTTATCCTGTCCTCTACATAGGATAGATCAGGGAAAGCCTCTTTAGGAGGAATTAGTTAACCAAAGAAACAAACCATGTAAAAGAATAGGCTATATTGTACTGGAAACAGAAGAGAATAGTGTCATGAGTAAATATTCTCCTGGGATCCTTTGTCCAATGATGGTCAATAATTAGGTCCAGCTCTAATAAAAGGAGTATGGTGTCTATATATTAGTGCAGGACAGTAGGAAATTTCAATTTCCATTTTGTACCATCTGCTAAAATGCCATCATTTTAGCCTTAGTAGGATAGAAATTTTTGTTCAAGAGAATGAAGTGTTCCCAAGGCCAGATTATTTGCTCACAAACAAGAATCAGCACCAGATAGCCAGCGGTGAAACGTATCTGGTTTTTTTGATTATATGAGCAGATTTATGTAAAATAAGCTAGCCAGCAAATTATTTCAAAACTCTAGGCCATTTTATTTTTATGCTGTTGCTTCTAAACAGTCCCTTTATAATTGCTGCTTAAGGGTTGTACTTGAGCTTATAGGTTGGTGAAGGTATGGCGATTTAGGGAACATGGTGTGCTCAGAGGGCATGAATGCCCTGTGCCCCTTTTTATACCCTGTCCTGTGCATCACTTCCATCTGGCTAGTTCTGAGTTACTCATTGCCTCCAGGTAGATTAGTGTCAGAATTGAATTGTAAGATGGTCAGTTGGTGATCAGAATTGAAACTGGTACCAGATTCTTACTCCCTAAAATTAATCCATGATAGAATGAAAGACAGGGACTTAACCTCATAATCAGCTATTTCATTAAGAACAAGAACATACAGATTCTGGCTTTTGGCCAAGATGGAGTAATAGGGACCCAACTTCACAATTTAGATATCAACAAAGGGATGGCATAGACGACCAAAAGCTTTGATCCCTTAAAGGAAACTAGTTCTTGAATAACCAGACTAAATGGAGAATTGTCTTTGCTTACCTACACAAGTTCTCAAGTCTTCCACTGCCGTGAATTGAATCAATCATAACAAAAGCACTGCTAATCTCCAGGCAGACAAGGGATGTGTGCCAAGGATCTTAGTTGAGCACAAGCAGCTAAAATGTGTGACAAAACAAAGATTGGTACTAAGGACTGTGCTACCCAAAGCCTGGGCCCATAGGCCACTCTGTAGGGACCTGTACTCTGAGATTTCACAGGAGGCTAAACTCTACTCACTGGTACATGGGCTTTGATTGGTTGTTAACTGTTACTTCTGATTTCCATGCCTTCACAGTTTGTACAGAAGGTCTCCCAATCACTGTTCATTATGTTGCATTCATCAGTATCTAATAAAAATAACATCGCCTTTAAAAAAAAGTAAGGAGCCATTTAAAAAGACTCCAAGAAGCATAGTTGTCATCTTAAAATTGCCGGAGTACTTCCTTAACAGAAATAAAATTTCCTTGTTTTTATGGTGTTCAAATTTCTTGCCATTCTGAATCAAAATAAAATAGATAATTCTGGGTTTGTACCTGTCATTAGAATCTGAATTTCAGGATGCTAGCGCCTACGGTTGAACATTAGTGTGATGAAAAGTGCATCTTAGTCCATTTAGGCTGTTAGAACAAAATACCATGGACTTGAGTGACTTACAAACAACAAATTTACTTCTTTGTTCTGGGGCTAAGGGAAATCTTAAGTTCAAGGTGCCAGCATGGTGCTTCATAATGAAGGCCTTCTTTGTTCATAGCCAGTGCTTTCTGTCCTCACATGGTAGAAAGGCAAGCAAGCTATGGGGTCTGTTTTATTTTACTTTACCTTTTTTTGCAGAAGACGAACAAGATTGTGTTACAAATGGGCTACCAGGGTTAGTCATTTATGGGCTTTCTTTTATAAAAGCATTAATCCTACTCTTGAAGGTTCTACTCTTATGACTGAGCACTTCCCAAAGACTCAACCTCCAATGCCATCATCTCTGGAACTTAGGACTTCAGCGTATGAATTTGTGGGGACACAGACATTCAGACCAAAGCAGTATGATATTGGATTGGTGTGGTTGCCCTTCTCCGATTTCCTGGTGCCAGCTAGTAAAAACTTAGTGACTAACTTTATGAGAAAGTAATTGTTTTTCTAGCATTCTGACTCCTTTAGAGTTTTTTTTTTTTTTTAGGACTTTTTGTACAAAATTAATATTGATTGAATAACCATCTATGGTATAAAAATGTATTGGGCTTTTTGTCCATAGTATGGAGGAAGAAAGTGCTAGGAACTAGGAACTTATTTGTCATACTGATTTTAAGTCTTGAGATTGGGAAATGATACACCCATGAAAAGTTCTGACCGTAAGTTCAAAGTGGGAGAAAAGATTCATAGATTAATTTCAAACAGAAGATTAGAACTTGACTGATAAGGAATGGGCTGAGCCTTGACAGTACAACTTTGTAGTTTCTGAAGAAGAGAATGTTCTGGGACAGCAGACTGCCTGGCTTTCTGCCCACCTACTGAGTGCCCTGTAGACTTGTGCTACGTTTGCCTTGGGCCTGCCCCATTGCTCAGGGTACTAAAATAGCATGGCATCTTTCCCTGTAATGAGTAAATAGTTAAAGGGTAATGTTTTATCAGTGTGCTTTATTAAGGATATTGGGTAAGGGATCAGAAAATTGTCAGTTCTTAGAGCATTTCATAACATACTCGATGGCTAGAACTAGCCTCTGTCTTTTCAAACCCTTTTTCCTCCTATAAAACAAGATGCACATTTGCAAGGAGGATTAAAGGCTGAGGCATAAGCTTATTAAAATTTCTTAATGATAAACCTTTATATAATTAAGAAAATGAAAACTTGTCAGTTTTAATTCTTTGGATGACTGAACAAGACAATAAAGACTAATTGAAGCAGAATAGATTTAGGTTAGAACTTGGGAAAGAACTTGACAGATTCATTCTTCTATGAATTAAACTGCAAATATTTTGATAGAAAATGAGTTTGTTTGTGGATAGCACTGTGTCATTTCAACTCGGCACACACTGAGTACTTACTGTGGAGCTGGCAATAACCTGAGGGAGTTTGAGTTATCCCTCATAAGGAAGGAAATTGAAGGAAAACTATTTTCATGACTAAAGAATTTGCATGCATAAAGCCTTGTCTTTATTAGTCACTCCTATTCAGGGTCATTTAGAGTCATTTAGATGATCTCCTGACTGGTTATCAGGGAGATAAAAATCTTTTTTTTAACCCATTTTCTAATTCCATATATTGATAGGAAACCCTGGGGGGAGTATTTTTTGCAGTAAATATTTTCTGATGGGAAACTATTTTGGTTCTTTACTATCATTTTATAATGCTTTGTAGTCTCCTTGGACTTTGAAGGAGCTGCACTGCTTCTATTTAGGTTAAAATATCTCTGCATACAATGTAATATGTGTATTTCACAATGGTCGCAGTGTGACCTTGTGGAGTATCAAGGGTGCCACATTGGCCAGTGGACCTTCACTTGTTTTCCTTACTGTTTTTTTGCAGTCTTCTCTGGTCTCTGACATTGAGGAACTGAGTTTGCAAGTCATCTCCATTCTCATGTCAAGGGAATAGTAAAATAAGAGAAAGGAAAGGCTCATGATCTGCTAAATATTTTTATTAAAATATGGTGATACTTTTTAGTCTTCTATAATCTTTTTTTCCCCCTTCCTACAGTGAGAAAAAGAGTCCTCTTTGTGGAACAGAAAAAAATACGCTCCCTGTAAACAATGGATTGCAAATGAATTTGATTTATAAATGAGAAGACTGAGGGTGGGACACTTTTTCAGAAACTGCAGTGTGTAATAAAAGAAGAGGAAATGGCAAGGCATCACTGCCTCCTGTGATTTGAAGGCCATTGTGAAGTTAAACAATGCAGTGAAAGAAAGTTCTTCATATTAGGACATATATCATTGCATCACATTTATTTATCTTTCTGGATATTTTTATAGCCCTTAATAAAAAATACTAAAATAGCCTGTACTATTGTCTCTCAGTGATGTTTTCCTCTACTATTTGAAATAAAAACAACCACATTACTAAAAAATAGCCATTGTTTCATGTAATAGAAGAAATTTTTCCATGAGACTTGTGCAAGAGTTTCCAGCAGTCTCCTTCTACTTTATAGAAAAGGCAGAGTCATACTCCAGAGTGATCTTAGAAAAGCTCTTGTGTGATAAGATGGTAAGGGTGAACAGGAATAAGAGTGCCCGCTTTTCAACATGGAAGAAACTATGAAAACATGTATTTTGGATTTGTACTTTATATAGTTAGGGGCAAATGCCATTGGTCCATATTCTCAAACTGGTCACTAGGGCAGATTCTAATTTTCTAGAGTGGCTTTGGACTCCCCTATCACTTGGGTTTTGTTTTTGCTATTTTTTAAATGAGAGTCTGTAGTGTATTTTGAGGGGCATGATGGTAATGCACAGCTAACCAGCTTGGAAATTTCACTGATGATCCATAATGTTCAGGTAGGGACTCCTGCCCTACCCAGATCTCTACACTTTTTCTTAAATTACTGTTTCCCACAGATTTCAAAATTGCCCAGTTGTCTCACCAAATTTCTGGCTGAAGATAAAAAGGACCAGCTCATATTTTGAGCACAGCTACTTCATGTCTCACTCTGTGTAAACCACTTACATGGGACAAGGATGGGATGCCCACTGTGGTGACAAGCATTAAGAAACCAGTACTGTCAGGCCTCCCCTGGTGGTGCAGCGGTTGAGTGCTGGGCTGCAAAGCTGCCCATCAGCCTCTGCAGCGCCAGTTCGATTCCCGGCCAGCGAGGGTCCCACATGGCGTGACAGACCTCTCCTGCCGCCCGCTGCTCCCCTCAGCAGTGTACTTCGGTCCTTCTGCCTGCTCTGTTCCCTGCTCTGGCTCTGGTGAATTCTCTCACCCTCCCGTGCTTCTGACTGTACCCAGTGCTTGTATAAATAATTAAATCTTAAAAAAAAAAAAAAAGTCCCCACGGCGCAGTCTCTGACTGGAGGAAATTGAATTAGATATAGAAAATTGTTGAGTTTTAGAGGCTTGTGGTATTATAGTCATTTTGTGGCATCTTTTGTTAAAGCTCTGGTTCAAAGCAGTAATAGGTGAGGTTCAGGCTATTTTTAGGTTGAAACTATACAGAATGGTCTCTAGTTATATGAAAAACCCATTGCCTGTTCCTAGCTAAGACCAGTGTAAAGGGTCTGTGATGTGCATGAATCACCTTTAAAAATTTTTTTTAATGTGGCTTAAAAAATGACTGTCTATTCAGCACATGGGTTGAATGGAGTCCACAGGTGGTGTTTACATTTTTTAAGTCAGTTGCTGATACTTTAAAAGACTTCAGTAAACACTCGAACTTCAGATTTTTTTTGCAAAACCAGAAGTTTTGTAACACTAAAGCTGAATGTCATCTTTCTTAGGAATTGCCTGAGTGATCCAATACATCTGCCCCCTCTTATTTAACATTCATTGACTCTAGACACTTCAACCCTTGCTTTATAGTATATGGGTGGCATTCATGGCCTGTTGGCATACAGTTTACTCGTTTCTGAAATGGTGATGTTTGTCCTGGTGGTTGAATCCATTCTGGCTGCATGAAAAGCAAAGAAATGAAAGCTTGAGGATGACTTAGTAAGTCAACAATACTTGCAAAGAAAGGAGAGAGTAACATTTTATTGTAAGCTGCTGGTTCAGAGTGAATACCTACAAGAATATTTTATTTCCAGGTGTATGTATGTGTGTGTGTATATATATATATATATATATATATACACACACACATATATATATATGTATTGAAGTTACCAGCAATCAAAACAGATTAAGTGGCAGGTCTTTTTTGTATGGGTAAGATGACTGTGTTCCTGCAGCCTGGACGCTGACTGCTGCGATGAAATTGGATCTCTTGAGCATTTCTTCCAAGGACAGATTTGGGAAGTAAGCCAGGTAAAAGGCCAAAGCTCCCACAAAGCTGTCACCAGCACCCTGTAATTAAAAGTACAGATGTGGACATAAGCATGTAGTCATCTGTTGCCTAGACAGTATTGTAAAAATATGTAAATACATACACACTTTTAAGAATAGTTTCAAATTCATAAGATACAAGGATAGCACAGAGAATTTCCATATACTCCACACCCAGTTCTCTAAACACATTACTGTCACAATTAATGAAATCACAGCGATCATTATTAACTTTATGCCATACTTTATGGTGTATGGTTAATGTCCTTTTTCTAGACATGTTCCAGGATCATCCAGTAGGCAGTGAGGTTCTTTGTCATTTTTTTTTTAGTCACCTTGATAGTCTTGAGGACTGGTCAAATATTTTGTAGAATGTATCTCAGTTGGGGTGTCTTTTTTTTCTCATGGTTAGACTATAGTTGAATGGTTTTGGGGAGGAAGACCACAGAGGTGAAGTGTCCTCATCACGTCAAGGTTACATATTCTCAATGCAATTTATCACTGATTTTAATCCCAATCACTTGGCTAAGGTGATCTTTGTTGGCGTTCTCTGCTGTAAAGTTACTCTGCTCCCCAATTTCACACTGTACTGGAAGCAAGTCACAAAGCATGATCCAACTTAACAGTGTGGGGAGTTGTGATCTACTTTCCTGAGGGTGGAATTGTAAATCATTTGGGATTATTCTCTGGGAGATTTGATTCTTCTCCCTCATTCAGTCACTTATCAGTATGAACTCCTACCAGATTTCTTTCCATTTTTCTCAAGCTCCAAAGGTCCAAGTTGGTGAAGGTCACACAGGGCTCCATGGGAACAGAAAAACAGCCTGTTGACTCTGCCTTCAGGCAGGGCAGTAGTACTTAGTCCTATATCCGTCTAACAAATGTGCTTCAAATAATTTAAATGTGATTTATAGTGTCCTTGAAAAATCATTTTGGTATTCTAAACCGTTTTCAGGGTCATTTCCCAATTTTTCCCAGTTTGCTGGTTTCTTAGACCTGAGAGCTTTCCCCACAAATCTTCAGGCTACATTTGAGCCTTTATAAAGGGCCGTGGTGTGCAAGATTGTTTCAGTTGCAGTCAAGTATTTAATAAATTATGTGGCCAGCACAGTGATAAACACTACAAAAGGAGTAAAACCCACTGCAGCTTAAATATGAAATAGTGATTTATAAATGCTGCTGGAATTTAAGCGCTTGAAGAAAACCTTTAAGAAGGGAGTCCTTGCAGAATGAGAAGGGAGGCCTCAAAGAACAAAGACCCTGGAGGAGGAAGTGAGCTCATGAAGTTAATGGCTTTAAGGAGAATGATATTTCCCCCTGTTTACCCAGACAGAGCAGTCAACATCAAACTTGTCACACAGTAATGCAGGTGTGAATTCAACACTTTCCTTCCCCCATGAGCATTTCTGGAATGCCTTAAACGTGTCTGCAGGAAACGACGGAGAGACAGACGTGTTCCCTGCTGTCCCTTGGTGTATGGCATAGCAGTGTGATAAGAAAGGTCTGAAACAGGAATTACGAGCTGGATGAAGTGTATATTATGAAAACATGGAGCGTGTCACAAGACATAAAGTGATGGCAACCTCCAAGATTCTAAGTCTGCATTCCTTCCTACAAAATTAGATAAAGGCTTAAAATGTAAGAAATAAAACAATAATAAAACAATAACATAATATGAAAATTTATTATGAAAATTTAGATGAATATTTGTATAACCCCAAGCAAGAAAACCATAAGCAAAATCTAACCCAAAGGACTTGATGAGAAAAAAACAGGTTTTAATTTTATAAAAACGTTTAAAAAGTTAAATGTCCAAAGACACTGTAAGTAAAGTCAAATGAAGAAAAACAGGTTTGGTGAAAATTCTTCCAATACACATGACATATTCCTAATACTCAATAGCTTCAAATTGCTCAAAAAGACAAATCCAGGATAAAAATAGGCAAAATACAGACAAGCAATTTCAAAAAAGGAAATGTAAATAAATGGTCAATGAACAAACATGGAAAGATGCTCAATTACTAGCAAAGAAAATGCAATTAAAATAATAAATTTTAACTATCAGATTGATAAAATAGTAAGATTGTTAGAGCAGTGAAGGTGGAGAGGGTGAAGTTACTCTTGAGTACTGCCAGTGCAAGACTCTCACATTCCTGTCCAGTAAAATGAGAAACGTGTATGTCCCTTGACTCAGCAATCCTGCCTCGGGAAATTCCCACTGAAGCTCCTTCATACATATGCAAAGATGCTTGTTGCTGCATCGTTTCCAAAGGCAAAGCACTGGAGATACTGTGACTATTTAGCCAATAGGAGAATGGATCAATTAACCTTGATAGATTTTCTTATAATGGAAAGCATGCAGTTATTCATAAAAAAAGGTTAGCAATACATGCACATAAGTGGAGACTGGAGAAATTTCTCCATTAGGTAAAGCCAAAAACTCTGTATGCTGGGGAAGCAGGGTTGGGGTGGGGGGAGGGGGACTGGGAGACGAAACAGTGGAAGCACAGGTGGAGGGAATTCTTTCGAGCACCTCACAGAAAGCAGTTTTGCACACTCTTGTTGGCTAGGAGTGTATTGGATATAGATAAGATTTTAAAGAAAGTTTAAAAACGCTTGCACGAATGTGTGAAAAGACTATTTCGAAATCACTTAAACTGCTTCCCACTCTAGCCAAAGCCAGAGAAGTGATGCTGGGTGGAGGTGTGAGTGCTGGAATCACTATTTAGGCGATGGTGATTTTCACAACTTGATTTCCCTGTACTCATTGTGTTGGTCGACATGGCAGAGTAAGTCCTTCTGGTATTAAAAAGAGGAGGTTTCCCCGTAAAGAAAACTCTAGTGAAGCTAGATGACTTCACTGGAACATTCTACCAAATGTTAAGAGTGAATACGAATTCTACAGAAATTCTTTCAGAAAACAGAAGGTCAAGAAAATGCTTTCCAAAAAATTTCATAAAGCCAGCGTTACTGCAACACCAGAATCAGACAATGACACTACAGGGGGAAAAAACC